TAAAGTCACTATTAGGATTAAAATCCACATGTCGAGATTTCCATACGACAATGAGTGATAATTTATTGTGGCAATATTTATGTAACAGAGATTTTGATAAAACAGGTAAGTTGATTTGTATCTAAGAACAAATAATCCTATAGGATTTTTATTTATTCTTTAGCATTAATGAGCGTTAGTCAAACAGATGCCAACGTTGGTGATTGGAATCAACGTTATAAAACATTATACATACAGAAACAAGCAATAATTAGACAACAATACAAAACTCCATTTGTCCATCCATCTTTTTTTCCCATACCACCAAATCATCAACCACATCGTTTATTATTTCAAGATGGACTTCCGATTACAACCTCCACATTTCATCCATTTCCACTCTATCGTCCAATACCACCGGGCATATTTCGTAAGTTTATTAGACTTTTATTTTACCAATCCTTTTCTCTTCATTTTTCCTTTTGCTACTTTCCCTCCCTTTCAAATCATATTTTCTTCTTAAAACAAATTTTTTTTGTCTTGATACCGTTTACTTGGTTAACAATTTATTATAAAACTATTCGGCTTTTATTCCATCATGATGTAAACTAAATATTTTTTTGCGACTTTGGAATAGGGATTCACTCTTGCCATTGGTGCTGCTGCTACTATTTTGATATTATTTTGATATTGTGCGAGATGAATTATCTTCCTATGAGTTCAGTTCCTTTACGTAGAATGTTGTACTAGCGTGTGTTAACTGTTCAATAGAGACAGTTTCTTCGATTCGTCATTTTTGTCTCACGTACTAATAAAACAACTATAGTAACCAAAATAAACGTACAATCTTAATAATTTTAAGACATTCTTATTTATTCTACTGTCGTTTACAGTTAATGGATTTACTACATTTCATTTTGATCATGTTACCTTGGAAAAATCACGACAATACACTCTTCTTTTATTTTCTTTACTATTATTTAATTTTCTTTAGGAATTTGCTCAAGTTCTCCTAATCCACAAGTCTATTGTCAACCTCTTTTATGTAAATACGTCGTGATTTTTGCAGGTACGTGCTCAGTTTTTGTTAATCGAATATTATTTTCATTTTATTTTGTTTTATTTATTAGCTGCTACAATGGTACCATTACCATGTTTTCATCCTGTGTGGTTGGGCTAATAACGTTGATTTTTCTAATTGTATAATCGATTTAACGTCATATGCTAATCTCTAGAACAAACCAAATTAACACCAATAATCGATATTAGTTATTTGTTTTCACTCATTAATATGTTGTTATAAATATATATATATTTCCTCTACTTCCTATTTATATCTAATTTGCAATGTAAGTACACGTATATGTATGTATTCTCCTTTCATTTATCTCACGTAATTTCTTTCTCTATTATTTGTAATTCTATTTTGTTTGGTGTGGTGCGATTGTTGTTGTTCTTGTTGTTGTTTGTTTGTTTTTTTGAAACATTTTTGTCTAGTTTTTTTCTCTTCTGCGCATTTTTCATAAATATAACTGTATTTGTCATCGATGATCTGCAACCTTTTAATGTGTAGACCTTTTAATATTATTATAATTTTTTTCTGGAACTAATGACAAACGATCTCGTGCCATATTCGATATCTAGAAAGAGAAAAAAAAAATCATTTATTTTGACGTATGAATGAGCTTCGATTAGAGACCAAAGAGATGAGTCAATGCTATTCTTCAGCATAGAATAATTATCCGTGTTACATATTCTATGAAGGACACAGTTGTGAAATAATTAAGTGCGAGCATTCATTTAACAATTTATTAGATCTTAAAATTTATAAATGATTGCGAACGTGCGTTTACTTGTTTTCCTCATTCTTCCCTGATTATTCACTATACTGTGTTGTTGTTGTTGTCATTATTATTTTTATTTGGCCTTATAATAATCTATTTTGTTTTTCTTCTGTTATTCTAGCTCGAATCATTATTTATAAATAGCTTTTCGTGCACAGACATATTTAGGTTCTGTTTGGGTGTGCGTGTGTGTGAATTAGAAAATTAGAAAAAAAAAAAAGACTCAACGTTTGTGCACACATTTTATAGTCTAAATATTAATGTAAAAATCTTTTTTATTCTTCAATTCTTGTAATTCAAGTACTGTTGTATAATTTAATTAAAAACAAGAATGCAATACTTGAATGGAACTTTTAACCTAAGAAAAACCTCTATTTAATCTTCAGGCGTCTGATTCTATCGATATTTTAAACAAGCAGCTTATTCTTCGCGAAATATTATTTGATTCGTTAGGCTTTCGATTTTATTTGCGTGTTCACCTGTTCCTGTCATATATTAATCATTTGCTTATTTCTGTTTCTGACTATTTCTTTCATCTTTACACGATGTTTTTCTGCTTCTTGTCAACAAGAACGTTTGAACAACATTGTGTAAATGATTAAATAAAAATGAAAAAGCGCAGCTATTGAAAAAAAAAAATATATATATATATATACAGTTAGAGATAACGTTAAACTGGTATAAAAATGTTTTTATTTGAATACAGTGTCACGTCCATTTACCTCATGTTTTGTGCTATTATTGTGTTTTTGTTTAACTGAGATTAA